GATGACTACAGAAACAAATTCTATTCCTTTATATCATTCGGCTGTTGATGGTCTAATGATTTCAACAAATAAAACTCAAAGAAATGTGATGATCAAACAACAAATGTCATCTTCACGTTATCCAATTATACATTCATCTGTGCAAACACCATATGTATTACAATCATATCCAATACATTCAAATCTTTTTCGTTCATCAACAGAATCTATATTATATTGTATACCAAATTCTCGAACATTAACAACAACTATTCTTCGACCAAATAATATACGATGGGGTTCACCAATAAATATTATTGATTTTAACACATGTCCAGTAATTAATCAAAAAAACAATTTTCAAAATTCAACAATTTTATCATCCGGAAAAAAATTATTACGATCAGAATCATTAAAAATTTCAAATAATCATTTAATTAATAATGATTTAATACAAAAATCCAAACTTGATGCAAAATTTTTTTGTGGTCTAGCACCTATAGATGAAAATAAACTAGCGATAAGAGAAATACCCTCTTTTCGTCCTCATTCACCGATAATAAGTAGGTGAGATATATACATAGAACAAGGTTGAATCATATTTAACCCATCTCTATAATAAGAAACACAGAACACATTATTTCTTTTATATTAAAACAATGTCATCTTGTTTCATTGTTTTATTAGACCTACAACAACTGCTAGTGGTACAACTCCTTCACCTTCAGCTGTCACACCATCAGTTGTAACACCATCAACACCAACTATTCAAACAGAACATATTCCAATACCGCATTCGAATTCATCATTTATAATAGCAAGTGGTGTTGGTGGCATGTCATCGAGTGCTCCACTTCCTACATCGTAATATTATTTTTATTCAAAAATAGATAAACAAAAAAAAAGAAGTTTCGTTTTATTGTCATAGAGCTCTACAGGATAATGGTAATTTAATGGTAGATATAGGACATATGAATGGTCCATTAGCAGCTCCAGTTAATGTTGAAAGTGAAAATGAAGAAGAAGAAAATCATGACATTCGTGGTTCAGATGATGATGAACAAGAAGATCCAAAAGATTATTGTAAAGGTGGTTATCATCCAATAACAATAGGTTCTATTTTTAATCAACGTTATCATGTTATACGAAAATTAGGATGGGGTAAGAGAATTAGAGAAAAGAAACGTAATTATAATTTTCAAATTAATTTTTTTTAGGTCATTTTTCTACTGTATGGTTATGTTGGGATCGTAAATCTGCAAGATTTGTTGCAATGAAAGTTGTTAAAAGTGCTAAACATTATACTGAAACAGCATTAGATGAAATAAAATTATTAACACATGTTCGTGAAAGTGATCCATCAGATCCATATCGTCTTAAATGTGTACAACTATTAGATGAGTTTAAAGTAGCTGGTGTTAATGGTACACACGTATGTATGGTTTTTGAAGTACTTGGACATAATTTACTTAAATTAATTATACGTTCAAATTATCGTGGTATACCAATACCAAATGTTAAAGCAATTATTAAACAAGTACTACAAGGTCTTGATTATCTTCATCGTAAATGTCAGATTATTCATACGGATGTAATTGAAAAGAAAAAAAAGGGAGATTTATTTTTTTAAGCAAAAAAAATTGTTTTCTTTCTAGATCAAGCCTGAAAATGTACTAATGTGTGTTGATGAAGAACATGTACGTGCTTTGGCTTATCAAGCTGCTGAATGGCATAAACCTGGTATTAAACCAGTTGGATCTGCTGGTATAAAGCTTCTTTCTTTTCATAAATATTTATATGTATATATCTATATCGATTTATTTATTTGTTTATAGTCGCTACTGCACATATTGTAAACAAACCAGATCCAAAAACGATGTCAAAAAACAAGAAGAAAAAATTAAAGAAAAAAGAAAAACAAAAACAAAAAATGTTAGAACTTACTCAACAACAAATTCAAGTAGAAAAAATATAAATTTATGAATAAGTTTTATTATTATTCCTTTTTAGGATGCTGAAAAACAAAAACAAAGTTTATTAAGTTCACCTAATCAACTTAGTTTAAATAAATTGGTTCTTACTGATCAAACAACTCAATTAAAGCCAGGTAAATAAAATCATTTGTTTAGTTTTGTTCGTTCTGTAATCTTATTGTTTATTCTATATAGATAATTCGGGAAATAATTCCGGTGAACGAATAATGAATGGTCATCAAAGTCCTTCAATAGAAAAACCTGAAAATAAATCCGATGAAAGTGATGAAGAAAATCCTATTATTCAACCTGGAAATGGTCATGAAAACGAACAACAAACAAATCTAACCAATGGAAAAAATAATACAGAACAAGAACTTAACGAACAAGCTGCTATGGCTGCTGCTGCTGCTATTTTAGGTGATTCAAATAAACAAACAACATCCAATGAATCTGATGCGACATCCAGACGTAAGTTTTTTGTTTTCATTTATTTACAATTGATCTTCAACTTTTTTTTTGGGGGGGGGGGGGGGGGGGTATTCTCGCCCGACCAAGTGGTGGAAGAACCCACAACCCGGTTTTTGAAACTGGCCGCGATAGAACATTTACAGATAAAATAGCC